CCAAATGTTGAAGTGGAATGCCTTTCTGTTTGTCGGGTTTGAAATTTCAAACATGTTGCAAGGTGCACATGATTGGCTTATGAGAAATTAATTCACTTTGGCAAGGTATTTGGTTGTGAATAAAAATACATCCATTCATAGAGGTGGTCGACTTTTTGGGGGGTGTCGACTTTTTCCCCGGTTAATTGTACGAATGCGGCACTGGCAAGGATGATGGCGAAGTGAGGACGCCTCATGGGGCTGGGATTAGTCGACTCTATCGACGATTTGAGTCGAAAGCAAAATGCAAGCACATCCATGAAGTTGCAAACACACGTGGTTTGCAAAATGTGTGAAGTGCGGATATTTGAACCAAAAACACCACAAGCAGGCTTGAAATACGATTTTCGTAACACTACACTTCGAGCAAAGGCTCTTCATATATTGGACCTTTGGCCTCAACCTTCGATTGATGGTGGACTTGGCAAGCTGTTCCGATTCCTGCTACAGCGACAGCTCCGCCAAAGCAGAACCATCCGTTTTCGACAGACCACCGAGCAACAAGCACAGCGATGGACTGGGAAATCGTGAACGCCCTAATAGCACTCGTGACAGCCATCAAATACCACGCCCGCCGCACAAACTTGGCCACGAACACGCCATGGCCAAGTGCAAGCAATGCAAGTATTGTGCTGTATACGACACACGGGATGCTTGCCACCATCATGTGTTCCTTCCAGCTTTCTTTGCCACCAAACGAGGCATCAACTTGCACGACATACGTAATGGCATCAGCCACGCATAAAACGACTGCGGCACCACACACAAAGTGGCTGACAGGCGAGGACGCCTTGACCGCAGCAACGACAGCGATGAGAATGGCGACAACTGCGGCAACTGTCACGACCATGCCACGTCCACTGAAGTAGGCAAAGTAGAAGCACAGCCAGCATGTGCTCAGCAGTGTTGAGAGTTTCATGACTTTGACACCGGCAAAAATCACACCCAGCGCCAAAATCCCTCCAATGGACCCCGCCCCTATGAAGATCAGAGCTGGAAGGTAGTCCCAAGTGTCGCCATCGCCCAAGGAGCGCGTAGCCGTCACGGTTGTCGTCGCCACGGAAAGCAGTAGGAATTTCCTTGTCATGGTTTGCGGAAGTTCAAAAGTGAGCAAGCTGTGGGTCTTGGGGATGCATTGCATGTGGTTCGAAGGAATGTTTTGATGGGAATACGTTGTCATCATTGAAAATCTTGGCCATGCAATAAATTATAGTCCATGAAAAATTCATTCACCATTATTACACAATTGACATCAACGGACGACAAAATAAGAATTTTCCTTTCGAAGGAATTTTGGAGTACGTATTAAATTCTAAAGGCTAATCAGTCGTCTCGACAACTCGACATACATGAGCAACCGAATGGCAGGAGGACAAGTTTGAATATTCTGCGTACCTGGTATCAAATGGGTCTGTAGCATACTGCCGTATGTGATGACTGACAAACTCGTGTTTTCGTAGATTTGGATCCATACCACGACGGAACACTCCGGGACATGGGAGGTCGTCGGAATTATTGTCTTCACTTGGGACACACAGGGAATTTCGTACCAAGTGCGGAAGTCCCTGGCATTGGACGCGCAAGTTTTGACTCCACAAATGATTTGAGGGGTGCTTTGGGCAGATTGAATTTTACGTGGGTCCGCGCAAACCAGCCAACGTTGGGACATGTGACGGGTCTCTTTGTTCTGGTTACTGAGGATGGCCAGTATCGCTTCACGATTTGCCGACCTCGTTGTTGAGACGGCTTTATCGTCACAACATTTATTTGTGAAGTGCTAACAAGGCCTTTCTGCGTGGATCTTGTACAAATCATTACGTTCCTTCTGGCAGGTTGCCTATCGGTTGAGGGAAACGATCGTGTCCAAAATAACCTCAATATAATATTTCACGGGTTTTTCAGAACGTCCACAATGGGATCGGAGGTGCATCGCTGAAGAGAAAATCTTCGTTTGCGTAAAAATCGATGAATGTATCGGAGGCCGCGCTGAGTTTTCGAGGCGACAGTCCAACTATTGCAAGACCGATTGAACTCACTGTGTGTACTGGGAACTACATGATGTACGCTTCTACTGTATTCCCTGAGTCGATCATCCACGATTCCAAAAGAGTCATTCTCGACCCATTCTACTGCCCACCTTCTGATACACAGATCGGCTGTTCGCCCGGCCAGCCGTAGCCTAAGATGGGTACAGTAGCAGTGGCAAAGGCGCCCTCGCAATGGTTGATTCAAGTTATTGTCAGAAATTTCGATCGGCGGCGCCAACTCCTCGCGTAGCTCGGGCACAGCGTTCTTGAGAAGTCTGTCGTGCAGTGAAGTGTAGTGTTAGTCTATTCGAACAGGTTCCGGCAGGGTAAGATTGGTATTTTAAAGCTCAAAGCCACACGATACTCCCGCCAAAAGGAGTTTCTACTATGGGGGTCCATCCAACAAATCTTCAATCGACCTGCTGAGGGGCACAGGCGTCGAGGAATATTATATCCCGCCATTTTAGACACTTCGTACTTCGCATCAAGACCATGAAACTCTGGTCGCGAGCCTTCCATTCGTTAAGTAATCCGAACTCACTGAAAGCAATGCCGCCGTATTTGTTTACATTTCGGGCCGTGTAAACGACTACAAGGGCAATATTGGTCGTATTGCAAGTGCAAAATTCGTCAAAAATTCGACTGTGCTCGAAGTGGATGCTGCTTCTACTCTACCCACAAATTGAACCTCGCCAACGCCATCTTCATCTTAACTTGAGCACTCGTGTCATTGCGATTGCTACGGCTGTGTGCGCCCTGGTCTCTTTGAATGTTTGCCACGTTGAGACGTCTTTGCCGCTAGCAACTGGACATGGTTCATTTCGCCCGCTAAAATTTCTGCACATTGTTACGATATGCCATGGACCTCGCCATTCGTTGGAGTCCTTTTGTAGTGAAGAACGCGACAATAATTATGGATGACGAGAACTGCAGTTCCTGCGCACTCGTCACGAAGGGCGTGCACGTCATGCATGCATGTGAGCAGCAGCTAGTCCATTGAAATCTGTTGTGCCTCGTGTTTGAATCACACGGACGAATGCCGACAAGAATCCCATTATCTTGCTTTCTACCTTGGTCATGACATGATAGGTGCACACCAACTCCATTCGAATCGGTGGCAGCGTTATCAAACCTGTGGCCTCAGCCAGATTCCCGTGCTCTTGTACATGAACCATGAGATACAGACGACTCGCGACGCACTGACAAAATTGCCCGAGTATGGCCCACCTTTGATCGTTTGCGCTGTGATGCATGCCGTCGCCACGATGGATCGTGTCCTGCACATGCGGCATCGCATGGAGGAGCATCTGTAAACGTTATAGCGCAAGATCTGCCATGTGTAGGTAGTGAGGCCAAAGGCACAGTCGTTCTGTTATAAATTAAACCTTTTCCGCTCTACGACGTGTCGGTTCCGCGCCTAAGGAAGAACCGGAAGGAGGGTCTGCGGCGTCATTAGTCATCGTCGTCGCTGATGGTCAAATCCACCACTGGATGGAAAGGATGCTTCAAACGAGTCGTTGGTTTCTTCCGACGTTTGAGTCGACGATAGACCATTCGCACTCCGGGATGCTGGGGGATGCGGCGGGTGGGGTGTTGCGGAATCCGACGGAGGTTGGGTGCACTTGCAGAAATTAGTGGGGAGGGCGTTGGTTTCGCAGGCTCAGGTGCAGAGCTCCAAAGTGCAGTCATGAACGCTTCGACGTCTTCCTGCACATGGTACGTGTGCATATCCACGTTTGCGAGTGCCAAGTCGTGGGCGTTGACACTGCAGACGCTACAAATCCTCAAAGCACGCGGCTTCTTCGGGTCCAAGTCGAACGATCGATTGTGCTTTGTGCACCGGAATCCACACACCTGCAGTCGCGGGCAGCGGTGCTTGATGCACAAGTTCTTTCCAGCGTACTCGAAGGTGCAAGAGGGGTCGAGGGTCAAGTTGTCCACTCCGTACCCGCGACACTTCACGCACAGCGCCACCACGAGCGGCCGCTTCATGGTGGCTCACAGTATGGCGAGACTCAGCGGCAGTCTCACTTGGAGCAGGATGGATGGGGAGCCCTGACTTGGAAGCTGACGACGGTGAAGGAGACGTTGGTCGGCTCGCCGGGCTGTTGGCTCACAAGGTGGTTTGTTTGCTGGATTGGAGCACTGTTGAAATTTCAGTTTTTTACCAGGTTTCTTTGCATTGAAGAAAACTAAGAATCCGTAAAAAAATCGGGAAAATAGTAGGAAAATTGGCGAAATTCCACCTTCACCCTTCGAAACGCATGACGTAATGTTGTAAAAACGATTCTCTCTCCCTTTTTGAACACATTCGACTTAACCTTTTTCATACAACAATCCTCATTGTGGACCAAACAACCCCCCGTCAGTTGTATATGAGACTTTTGCTGTGAGCCCAAATGAACCTCTTGCTTTCGTCCTAAATTCTATACAATGCACCCTCCCTGCTATTATCGAGGAGTAATATGTGAAAAGGCTTCACAGGGCAGCTTGATTCTGGACCACACATGTTGCATCCAATGAGAGTAACTTCCTTGTTCAATATGGTAATAATTTTGACCAATCACTTCGCCCAGATGTAATGGCGCGTCATCCATTAATTTGGTGGTGATATCCAGTCGACATGTTGAGGCTAGCAAACCACTCAAAACCGTTGACCGGATAGAAACATCCACTCCCTAAGATTCGAAACCCTATTGTGTATTGCCTCCAACATAGCAACATTGATTCTTGTCAATTGGATACCACCACAAGAGTTTTGAATATCTAAACTACACTAATTCCAGAATTTCCAACCTCTAAATGCAATGAACTTGCAGTAATACAATGGCTTCACAGCTTGCATACGAAGTTCATGTTCTTCGGCGCCACAAGTATGTACAGTACAAGTACAACGAATTCACAGAGGTCGACGGCACCGAGGGGACCAGTGATTAGGTTTACGACAAATATTGCATATGAGAGTATTAAAAAATAGGGTTTTCCAACACGAAACTTATTCTCTCTATTTACACAGATCCATTTGTGGAGGCATACGGTTTCTACGAGTTTTGGTTCACAATACTGACTACTCGGAATCACTCGAGCTGGTGTCATCCGATGACTCATCCGAGGATGA